CTGGGCACCACCATCACCCAGGACCTCAAGTGGGAGCCGACCATCAGCTCCCTCATCAAGAAGGCCCAGCAGAGGATGTACTTCCTGCGGCAGCTCAGGAAAGCCAAGCTGCCTGCACAGATGTTGGTGCAGTTCTACACGGCCATCATCGAGTCCATCCTCACCTCCTCCATCACCGTGTGGTTCGCTGGAGCCACAGTCAGGGACAAACAGAGACTACAGCGCATTGTGCGCTCTGCAGAGGAAGTGATCGGCCGCAGCCTTCCATCGCTGCAGGACCTGTACGTCGCCCGAGCTCGAGGCCGGGCTGGTCGTATCACAGCCGACCCCTCTCACCCTGCACATGGACTATTCCAACCACTCCCCTCAGGCAGGAGACTGCGGTCCATCAAGACTAGAACCTCCCGCCACAAGAACAGTTTCTTCCCCTCTGCTGTTGGACTCTTGAACACTTCTTAACCTGTCCCCCCGCCCTTTATAAAGTCACTTTACTGCCCATCATACGTCACTTTACTTCACTGTACTGCTGTCACCTTACATTGTGTGCACCATGTGCACTTGTATATTGTAAATAGTAACTGTAACTCTATTTTAAATTTAAATTTATTCTTTAGAAGTGTTTTTTATTCTTATTTTTATTATCTCTTTTTGACTGTTGCACTGAGCCAAAGCAATTTCCAAGTCTGTGACCTCCCGTTACTTACGTTGGCAATAAAAATGATTCTGATCTGATTCTGATTAATTGTAGAGTGCCTTTCCTACACAAGGCAACACAAAGCACCTCACAACCCATATCACATCAAGCAAATCATAAACGTTCAAATCTACATAAACATTAACTTCTACTCATTTGAGTAGACGTAGAAACTGAGTTAAAATGTCATAATTACCTTCACCAAGGAGGTAATATTAACCTATTTTTTTATATACAAAACACAGCTGTTGAACAGTAGACTCTGTTGAACAAACGTCTTCTCACTCCATCTGACTTTTTGACTTATTATAGATTCATTATCATTACAGATTGAGACACAGGTGTGAGAGGGAAGTCAGTTTTAATGGCATCAGTTTGTCCCAAACCTCGCACATTTGCAGCTGCAACAGATCAGATTTGTGTTTTATTACCTTTGCAAGTTGAAAGAGTTGCTTCGTGCCTGCAAGCGGACTAACTATTCAAAGCCAGAAAAAATCGTACACCTGGGATGGTTGTGTATCAGCACTGGACTCCAGGCCTGTGTGATAAGACTCTCCCATATAATTATTTAACTGGTTTATAGTTGTTGGGGCAGCTCATTTGCATAATCTCTCGTTTAAAGAGGGATGTGCAGGAAGCCTGTGGGGGGTTGATGGTAAGGACTCGGGGGCAGAGAGGCGGGTGGGCTGCAACAAAGTGCCCATTGTGCTCTGGTAGGATGGAGGAATACCCCGTAGGCTTTGGGGCTGATGCGTGTGTGTGTGGAGTGTACGTGGGAGCCACACCTGTCAGTCCAGCCTCAGGGAAGCAAAAGGCCCCTGTGCTAATGAGCATATCAATATCAGTATCAAACACAGGCACTGAAATCAATGGGCCATATCAATCTTACATGTCCTAATGCTTTTGTCCCTTTATTAACTTGGCTTGTTATCACCTCGTTTTCTCTGCTTTGATGGGAGCTCTGGTCACACACTCTCCCACTCACTGCACCTACAACACATTCTGTATGATTCGCCTTGAAATGCCAACATTTTTCACTAAAAGCAAAATCTGTTTTTTTGTCATGTTTTTTTACCACAGCTAAAATTCATAAAACGTTCAAAAATCTAAACCTGTATTTTATTACCCACTTACCCACATTACCCACTTTTAGTACTACCACACCCAGTGTTTCTCATTGTAGGGGGGACGTCTGTTTGACAGAGGTGATCCAGACAATTTGTTTTTCTCTTATTGTTGAATAAAAAAGAAGGAAGACATATCAAATTAAAAGAGAAAATTCTCACTTTACTGATGCCATTAAAACTGACTTCCCTCTCACACCTGTGTCTCAATCTGTAATGATAATGAATCTATAATAAGTCAAAAAGTCAGATGGAGTGAGAAGGCATTTGTTCAACAGCTGTGTTTTTTTATATAAAAAAATAGGTTAATAGTACTCTAAAATATTTAAATATAATAGGCCTACTAATGTTAATTGTTTGTACTTTAATTTTAATGTTTTTAAAATGTAACTGATTTACATGTCAATCCAAAGCACTGACTATAATACATGGAATTTACAAAAAAATATATCATTTTAATCACTAAGTGAGATATCTAAGCAATGTGTTACAATAACTAGTTACAAAAGTAACATTTGCTTTCAACACTGCATTTGGGCTGGTCAGGGCTCTGAGTGGAACATGTGACCAGAAAAAGTAAAGCAGGATTCAGAGCTCCAGCAGAGCCCAAAGTCCTAATTCCACACTGGGAATTCTGCCATCACTAAGTGAGTAAGTCCACTTTAAGCACTGGCCAAGTTAATGAAATACGTTTTTTTTTGTGACGGTGGTATACCCCATAAGTCACTATATGACAGTGATTGGTTGAGCAAGGGTGATCTATTTGTATGAATAATCTGTTCTAAAACCGAGATGGCGAAAAGATAACAAATGGGTGAGGAGCTCAGTCACACAGGAGGAGCTCGGAGTAGAGCCGCTCCTTCTGTTTCAGATTCTCTTCTCTTACTATGTAATCGTTCGTGTCACTCTGTCCTATATTACCCTGGTGTTTTTATTGACTAATCAGGTGTCTTCTGCCCCCGAGTTTGCAGGTAGGACCCCAAGGTAGGACTGGACATACACTGCTCATGATTGGCTCTGGTAGTTATCCCGAATTTGGATTTGGATTCCTGCCCATGGAGCCTATTTGAGGCATGGACACTTAAACTCCTAGAGCCAAATCTATCTCTGGATTTTGATTGGCATGATCAGACCCAGAGACTTTTACAGAGGACTTATTTGACACTCCTAGACTTCTGTAAACCAGTGCGTACTGTAGTTGACTTATGCGTTCCGGGCAGGACCAAGGGAAAGAACAAGCTGGGCAGGGGGGGAGGGGGGGCTTTGTTTATTTAATGGGTGGTTTTGGTTGGGAGTCATTTACAAAGCATAAGAGTATGGATTATGTTAAAAAAAATGCACTCAATTGTTTGCATTATTGAATAGGTCAGACAAGTTTTGGTCCTGTCTCCGTGCACCCTGCAAGCCTTTGGATGCTTTCAACCATGTCTCATAACGACCCCTTACTCCACAAACTGTAATTGTAAACAAAATTGCTATCATGCATTCATTATAAGAGCAAGGTTGGCATATTATTAATATTATGTTTACTCTGAGAATTTGATTTAAACACAAGCTCAGCTGCTGCAACTGAATTCTTTTCTTTGTCAAACGAAAAAAACAACAACACATAACACATGCAGTGAGGGACCATTGATCCCGAACAAAATGAGTGAGTGCCCTATACCCATCTAAAAACATACACTCAAGTCTAAGGCCCTGTTCATGGAGACACTGAAAAGCAATTCACAAAGATGACCCCTCTCCCAAAGTGCAAAGCGTCTACACTGCGACGGAAAACAGTGGTGTTCTAGCGCCCAGCCAGTAGTGGGCAGTGTAACATTATAACACGGAGGCCCCACCAGTATAACCACTTCCTCAACAACTTCCTCCTCAGGCCACCGCAAAGCCAGAAAAGAATGCACCAACATAGAATGCAACTACAGCTTAGTGTGGTTTCATTTGGAAGGACAAATTGCTCCTCCATGTAACACTCGAAGCACACATACTGTAGCCTTAGTTGATCCGGTGCCATTGTTATTTACAATTACTCTTTGCTACTGTGTATGTCGCCTTGTGATACAGCCCCCCACACGCAGCATATCTGTTTTGTTCCACTCTGGAGGCCGTTTCTCAATGCCTGAAATACTGTTGCCATGTGACCAAAAAGGCTGATCCGATAGCTGCTTTACTGTCGCAGCGTCTCAGTGTAAACGGGGCCTAATACAAGCCTGGCTTTTTCCTGTGCGCTAGAATGCATCACTCATCATTCCTGGACTGGTTTTACACACCTCAACTGGCATTCAAGGACTGGAGGAGACTAAGGAATGCCCATGCTGATACGTGCGCAAAAATAATTTTGAACTTGACCACAGCATGGAAATCCTGACCAAAATGTTTGCATGGATTTGGGACCAATCACAGAAGGGGGCGGGACGCAGAATGATGATGACGCACTTTTCAGTATCTTGTTTACAATTCAACTTGGCAACAGCAGATGTGAAGCTATCTTCCCTCATAGTTAACTTGCATAAACGGCAGTAATCGTTCGGCCCTTACGCTACATACATAAACATTGTGTAAACATAAATCGTCTTCTTCACTTTTTACAGTTTGCGTCAAATTTCTGTTGCTCTACATTTGGTATGGGGTAGTTTACTATTCATACGATTGGCTGAAAGCTACATGCAGACGCATATTATAGACATTCAAAGTGCCCTATATTCGGTGCCCTATGGACAATCATAAATCATTTTCTTCAGTTTTCACAGTCCATCCTATGCACATGTGTGATAATTATTTGGGTGATACTCAAAACACTCAAAACTTGTCAAATTATAGCCATTTTGTACATAGAAGTGATGTCACCTCATGTGAAACTCTTGGATCAGTGCTCTTCTGCCTGTGAGCAGAGGAGCTCACTGTGCGGGCCTTCCCCCGCCCGCACAGTGACGTAGCCTCACGCTAACTTTGAGGTAAACAAGAGCTAACTGCACAGCTTTCGCTGTTACAGTCATTTCTGACCTGAAAATAAACTTTTTCCGACAATGGCAACCGTCACATAGAACCCTATGTCCTCGATCCAGAGTCAGACCCTAATTGTTTAGTTTACAGTGACATACGGCGAGTTAGTTGCATTGTACTCACAGACTGAGGCTCCTGTTAACACCATGTTTTCGGGTCAGTTTTGAGTAGATCCCGTTTCAAGGTAACTGTAGTTCTGGAACAGTTTTTGGTGGTGTCACAGCTAAGAATAAAAAGCACAGAGGATTATTTACTGCTTATGGACCACACGCTGGACTCAGAGAGAGGCTGCAGTGCTGACCATAGACGGTGCTGATTTGCTGGTTCTGTTTCTCCCCGCTGTCAATCCCCACTTTTGACGTCACGGATTGGTGCACGTCACAATTTGAAACAGCTCGTTTCTGAGCCTCTGGAGAAGGAAAGAGAAAGATCATCTCTCACTAAAACTTGAGGGAATCAATGAAAATCTTCTCTGGGCATGAGTATGAAGGCCACATAGCACTGTAATCATGTTTAAACCAGGGAATAGAAAGGCCACCGTCTGATGGACTTCATCAAAAAGGGGCAAAATCTCTCTTCAGTATTGCACAGACTGGAACTTCTGACATCAGATGATTGAGCCTCAAAAACTTGTAGAAAGACACTGGAAAATGACTTGTTGAGCAGCTAATATTTATTTTATGGTTGTAGTGCTTTATAAATAAAATGTGATGATGGATTGGATTTATTTGGATATTTATAGAAATAACATCAATATCCCCAGTTAAAAGATTGGTTTTTGGTCAAATAATTGGTGAAGTAACCACAGGTTAAAGGGTTTGTCTGAGAAGTTATGAAAATGATAATTTGTGGGAAAAGGTGGGATTTATATCAAATAATAATTTATTTTCTTACATACATAGTTTTACCAAATATGATTTCGTTAAACTATTAATAAAGTTTCTTTTACAGAGATTCATTTTTTAACACCACTTTCTACTAATAATGATCTATGTATGAACCACTAGAGGCCACTATAAGAACAAATGTATTTTTAGTTCAGGGCAGATGCAATTTACCAAAGGCTGCTTTAACTTTACTTGAAGTTACTTGGATTTGTTGTGAAAGTAATAATATACTTACACTAACAGTCTGGGTCTGTTGTGACAACTGTAACTGGTCAGATTAGTTAGTTTTGAGACAGAATATTTTACATTGACAACATATTTCATACGGCTTCTGTCTTTTAATAATTCTTTGTCTTTGAAGTAGTAGATGATTTTGTGCAGACCAAAGAGGAAGCTGGAACTTCTGTGCACACAGTTAATTAGATTTTTAAGTGCACTGACACATACACACATGCACAAATACTAACGGAAACAAGAGGAGGTGCCAATATGAAAACATTATCCATCAGTGAATGTCTTTTGCCAAGTTTAAAGTTAGCTCTTGGATTTGGGACTCTCTGGGGTAATTTTAACAAAAACAAACACAGAATGTACTCACAGACAGGACTTGTAAGCCTCCTACTTTTAAGCTTTTCATGTGTGCTGCATTTTATTAATCAATACAGTTCAAAGCCAAATTCATATATTTATCTAATGTTTAAAAAGAACAGAAATGAAAAATCCAGAGAGTAATTGCTTCATTGATTACAGTTTGGAAGCAATGACAGTGTTTGGAATTTGACTGGACTTTTTGAGCAAAAGCTGCAACCAGCTCTGCTTTTCCAACCGTAGTTTAATCATTTAGATGAAGTTGGCACAAGAAGATGTCCACACACATACACACACACACAGTTGTATGCTTTATAGGTGCCCATGGATGCCATGGAAACCCCATAGCCTCAGTGAGATGGAGGACACTGTGCCAAAAAAGAAGGAACAAAGCCATGGTAACTTTTTTGCTAGCCACGTTGCCCAGAAACCTTTGAAGCTTATTAAGTAAAACCAGTGGGGAAACGAATGGACACTGGGGTAGCGAAAACGTCACATAAGACAGTGAGAGCAGGGGAAGGAGAGAGGGATGCAGAGCGGCCTGTTTTGTGGCCAAAGTGCCTCTTTGTTTCCACGAAGGGAACATTGTGATCCTGCAGAGAGGAGGGGTCGCTAATGAGACCTTCATTGAGTTTGGTGTAAAATTACCAGCTCACCTTTTCCTCTGGAAATAGATTCTGAAATCATGCAGCATTCAAGTCCCATGAGCCGCAGGTTACTGCATGAAATACATGGTGGGACACATAGGAAATCCCTTTTTTCTCCTAGGAGGCAAAGGGCACCCTTGAAAGCACCTTTAGACCATTGAGAATAATCAAATAATACCATACATATAAACAAACCCTAACCCCCCCTTTCATATTTAATTTGGATAATAACTCATCTTTGCTTCACTTGTGAGCATGTGGGTCCTGTGTAATTAAATCAGTGTATTTCTCCAGGAGTTAGCTGGTGGCGCCAGCGGTGCTGCCCAGTGAGACTGAGTTAGCCTCTGCCAGTTTCATTAGGCCTGATGGATGACCTCGAGACAAGCATTATCCTCTCCCAAACTGTAGCAACATACTATAGAATAACTATTCTCTCATGTAAAGGCTTCCTGAAGAATGACAAATATTAAGAACTTTTACTATAGCAGAACTATTATGGTTATAGTAGACAATAAAACCAAAAAAGAAACATAACTTGAAAATATTCGTGTTTAGTAGGCGTTGTTTCTGTCTCTTGCATTGAATTGCATAGTGTTGATATGATAGCCTTACGTGCTACCAGGGGCAGAGTTGGACTCTGAGTTTGGATTTTTGGGAGTGATTTCCATATTGCCTGGGGTCATGTGGGCATAGTGCCCACTCCTGGTGTTGTGGGTGCCTGCTGAGGCATAGGGAGATTAAAGCGAGCGCACGGTGCCATAAAGGAGCCTGTCTAGTGCTTTTTAATTCCCCTAAATTAGGGCAGAGTGCCAAGGGAGCTCCCTGCTATGGCAAACACTCCATAACCACTGCACAGCACGACTCTAACATAGAGCAATACTGGAGGCTGGAAGAAAGCATTCACTCTCTTTTTGGACACACATGCTTGTATTCTTGTAATTAGCAGTCTGTGGCCCTCACTCAGTTGTATAAGGAGAACATTTATAGCTGCTATCATTCACATCACAGCTTTTCTGGGGCAGAAAGGCTGATGGTCTGTCCACGTCCATGTCTATTTACCTGAGAGTTTTGGCCCTAAGGGCAGTGGCAGCACACTAAACAAACTGTAGGCACACCCTTGGGTAAGCGCTTTATGCCCTGGAGGCAGTGGCAGGGAGCAAAAGGCGAGTGTCCGGCCGCTCACTGTGTGTCTGTCAACTCTCCCAAGTCCTGACTGATCCAACTGGGTCCTCAGAGGTGCTGCGCTGGCCCAAGAGCTGCCTCACCGATGCCAGACTTGTTTGACTGTCCATCAAATCTCTATATACTTTTTATTTGTGTATGATCCAAAAATGTCATAAATAATTGTCATACATTTAGATACAAAACGTGAAATTATTCTGAAATTTCTACAGCTCATCTGATAAAGTTTATCTTTGTTGATTTTACTGTATTTTTGTGAGGTTCGACAAGAGAATTGTGTACTGGAGATCTGAGTATTTAGTCCGAATATGTCTGCAGACAAAAGCCTGTGTTAATCCCACTTTCTCCAGCATCTGGAGCCTTACCACGCTTTAAAGGGCTGGCTGTGTCCGCTCTGTGCCGGGCCAGTGCTCAAACACACACAGCTATCTGGGGCACCAGAAGGCCTCAGTTACGCCAAGGCAGAGGCTGCCCACTTTGGCATAGCCAGGTGCTTAGGGGGGAGCGAAATGGCAACAGTGGTAGGTGAGATGTAGGGAGAGGTAGTGGGACACACTGGTACAGGGTGCGCCTGCTATGTGAGAATGTCTCAGAAAAAAAGGACATTTGTTCTCATGTGAAAGGTGCACAGTGAGGCTGGGCGTGTGTGTCGGGGGGTGCTGGGAGAAGGTGCTGCAGGCCTCGTGCAGCAGCAGGCCCATCTTATGCTAATTCACATGAGCGTGAAGCACAGCCTCCATTGGCACACATGACAAAGTTGATGGCTGTTTTTATCATTCACTGTGGGCCCTGTTTTAATCTCATATCTTCCCACTGATGAACACACATTTTGAGTAGAGACGTGCTCCGGTCCCCCACCCTATGTGCCTTCTGTAGCGGCACACTCCACTCCCCCAAACCATCTCCTCATGTAGCACCACAGATGCCCATGTTGCCCTGCAACAGCTGTCTCACCATGTGCCCTACCAAGTGTTGCCACCCAATGGAAGGCAGTGGAAATGAGGAGGAGGGAGTATTTAGTGAGGGCAGACTGGGTGCTCCACTTTTGATGTGATGGTGGGTCATAAATATTAATTTATCTCATATAATTAGGACCTTTACTGCTCTTATGTGTGGCAATCATTGCTTACAAACAAAATCAATTAAATTATTTTAATTGATTATGTAATTATTATGTATTTGTTGAACTGTGATTGTAACTTTGGGCACTGAACCTGAGACAAACATCCCCTTGGGAACAATAAAGTTTATCTTATCTAAATCAACTATCCAACACAATATGTGGTTTCAGTGTTCTCCAGCCTTACAACTTCGAGATATCGTCGTCAGTTCAGGAACCGTCTGGACACTGAGTGCAGAGACGTCTCATCAGTTGTATGGCTTAGCAGAATTCATATTGACCAATGAGCAGAGCAGAATGCCTAGTAACAGTGGGATAGCCTGAGAGGGTAATTTCAAAAGCCAGCACTGCAAATCAGGTACAGGAACCAGACTGGATCCAGTCAGAACAAAATGGTGGGCCAATATAGTGCTCCGCCATTTTGAGACAAAATGTTTTGGAGCATGCCATGTTTTCTAATTGAGGCGGTTTAGACAGCACAGCCAAGGCATGGCACTGAAATAACCTCAAACATTGGCACTTATTTGCCCAAAAATCCCAATAACTCCATTTAATGAATAATAAACTGTATTTGTTTGCCTCTTTTAAGATGACAAAAGTGCCACAGTCGCAGCTAAGCCCCTTTAAATAAGCTGCAAATAAAATAAAATTCATTCAAAGACTGACATCTGTGCTCATAAAGAAAGCCATACCTGTGACTTTTGTTTTTATTATAAAATTGGAAAAGTTGAGCGCTGAGACGTTTAAAGATGCCAGGACAGATGGAACCAAGTGTAGAGTACCATCTGAGAAACTGATGCCACATTGTCCTCCCCTGTGGTCCTTATTGCTTGATAAATAAATAAATGCATTTGGGCGATCGAGCTGCTTAAAAGAAAACTAATAACGAAGTGTCTGAAAGTCTGAGCACAGTTGTGAGTGATCGTGGCACAGCACCCTGCCTGCGTATTTGTTCATTTAATTTTGAAAGGATGAAAGCAGACAGGCATAAAGAGGGGCAGACGCAGGGAGATCACCGCACCGTGTACCGCACTGCTGGGTAGTGTGCCACACAGTCTGCCTCCCTAAAGCAATAAATCTGAAACAGCATAATAGATAAACGCAACTCAGAACACAAAATACCCTGTGAGGGAAAACTAATAAAAAATGGTGCGATTAAGTGGAATCAGAGCTCTTAGGCAGTATCTGGAGATAAGGAGCCGCGGCCATACAAAGCGCAGTACGGGCCAACACAACAGATGAGAGAGCATAGGGACAGAGGCAGCGCAGAGAGTGAGAAGCAGTGTGGATGGGGCTTTACATCAGAAGACGCCTCGAGTGTGTCTTGCACCGTCTTTAAAAGGGAGCCAGGAAAACAGATTAGGAGTGCGGTTTTCTCCAGGGGCAAAGACACAGGCCGCTTTCACCCATCTTTGACCTGCCCGGACCAGAACAAATCTATGTGAGAAAGGCAGACATGGAAACAATGAGACAGAGGGCCGTACAACTGTTCTCATCATGCTTTTATTTATTATATGGATTGACTTGAAGATTTAAATAGATTTACCTCAATAACCTCTAGTTTAGTAGTCTAAAGTGAATCAATAGTTCAATTAGTAAGCTGCATTGCACATAAAACAGTTATGTTGTTATACAGTAAATACTGGTCATATTTAGGGGTGTACAAAGAATATGATTGTTTTTTTAATACATATTTTATATTTAAAAATATATTTTATTTAGTAGTATCAATATATACATTTTGTGTGTGTGTGTGTGTAATATTTAAATGAGTAGATATTTTGACATTTTGTAATAGTCAGACTAGCAAACAGAAGCATGAGAATACTTTTTACAAGAAATCTTCAAAAAAATAAATGCACCCGTCATTTTGTATATTTGGAAACATGAGTGAGTATTTTGTTATATATATATATATATTTTTTTAATATAAATATATATATACTGTATACACACACACACACACATATGTATATATGTTTCCTATGGAACAGTATGTATCATGTATGTATTGAGGTGTGGGTCTTATTGGCAAATTCTAGACATTTTTATTCACATTGAATTAATGGGGCTTTTATTATTCTATAACATATTTGAATTATTATATGAAGTTTGCTTTGATTTTCCTTTTTTCCTTCTGTTCTTGACTGAACAAATGTTACCAATGTGGGACCAAGGAAAACTAGTCTTCTCACAATGTATGATAATTGTGTATTAAATAATCTGAATGAATTTTCTCTTTAATATTTTTTCTCAAACACACCAGGCAAGAAATGATAGCACAATTGTTGTTGTTTATTTACCTTGTGGCCTGTTGTTCAATGCATTGATTAACTTTGTTCTCTTCCAAACGTACTTTTAAACAGAAGGCCCCGGTAGTGCATGGGTGAGGGCATGTGTGAGCTCTTGATAAAGATGTGAAGTCGCAGACACTTCCTGGAAACCAGGGCTCTCCCGTCAGCAGCACCTCATCTGGTCACGTCCAACACGTAAACTATACCACAAAGGACTAAACTATCTGATTGCACAGGCTTCCCCTCCCTTTTATGACGAACAAAATATGTTATTGTTTTGTCATCGTTTTCTCCTCCCCATAACAGTTTAACTGAAGGGAGATACTTGGTTTTATGTCCAAACAGAGTCATTTTAAATACATTTTTAGTTATTTTTTTCACATTTTCTCTGAACTAATGCACAAATCCATACTCTTTTGTCTCAATGTTCAAATTGTTTTTTAAAAGGTATTTGTGATATTTTTCTCTTATGTGTTATAGCATCCATGTTCCTGCTATAAACCAAGAAAGCTTAGTGTGTTCTTTTTTAATCAACAAATGGGTATTTGAAGTTGCACTTGAGAATTACAGGTATTCTATGAAAAACATTACTTTTATTTGATTCTACAATTTGTAAAACTAGTCCCTTAATTTCATATTTGGACAAAAACCTTATGGAAGGGTTTGGGGCCAGGCATACAGTAAAGTCCTCTGCTTGATATTCTTTAAGTTAAAAAGTTTCCATGACTGTGTAGCGGGAATGTTGGCAGTGCTGTGTGAACATACTCCACCCTCAGTCCCATTCTCGTGTGCCAGGGCTGGGCATTCCTCTCCCCTCCAGTGGCCACTATATGTGCCCACTCTTTTGCACAAGAGACCTGTTCTCCCTTTGTCCATAATAACTACTTCACACTAACTACGTCCTTCCTTCCCAACTTCTGCATACATTTCCTAGTCATTCTCCTCCAGCCAAAAATGTATCTATATTATTTCCATTCTTGCTTCTTTCCTCTATAATTTCCTACTCTTCAATTAGATTGATTTGGACGGCTCAGGCCAAAGAGGATCACTGTGCTACTGGCCTGGCATGGCCCAGCATACAAAGACTAAAACCATGGGCACAAACACCCATTGTTCTAACACGAGCGAAAGAAACATTTACGCCCGAAATGCAACCATCAGATATATTATTATTCTCAGCTTTAAAAAAAGAAAGTTAACCAGTTTAGTTGCATTGTTTTTTTGTTCATTCATCATTTAAATTCTTGTCATTTGTTTTAAATTGGATGGAAACATGTTTTGATAATGAGGAAATAATTGGTGGTTTGTTTTGCACACCTTGTTTTCATTTTAATTTCAGAGCAGTTTCAGTAATGGCCATGTTTTTGCATAATATTTACCTTTTAATGAATTGAATATAGGGAAAGGACTCAGCAAACGGACAAGAGTTTCCTTGAGCTGTGATCCTGGGCCTCCTGATGTGTCCAGACAGTGCAGCTTCAGAGGCCTGTGGAGAAAAACACTGAGCTTCTTCTCTAAACTACAACCATCTCAAAGATCAAATACGTCTCTGAAAATAGTACCGAATACATACTTGATTTTATGTGTTGCCATAAATATTTTGATATACTGATACATTGCAATCTAAAGAAGATGTGGTAGTCCGTGTGAGTGTTGTGTCTGTTGTTAAAATGAGAATGAGGTCATGTATAAGACGGTGAGCATGAATTATTATTTGTGTCATACGTGGCCTTTGATTAACTGATAATTATGGTGCATTTTTATTATTATCAGCACTATTCTCCTGTAAAGAAGGTATATGATCAAATTACACATAATATTTCCTTGGGCCTTCCCACTCATCATGTTTTTTTACGCTCTTATCATAAACAAGACATTTTAAAACTATTATTAAAACAATAATAATAACGATTATCATGTCTTTATTTAATTATTTTTAATCAAACAATTCAATTGTGAAAAAGTATTTGATGATTTATGAAACATTTCTAACATTTTCCTTTTAGAGGATTCATTAAACCTGATACTACAACTGTTATTAGTGTTATCATTATTATTATTATTAACATTATTTTATTATTATATTATCATTAATACTATTATATCTCGTAAAACATCCAGACAGATGAAAATGACAAATTGTTTATAAGGTGCATGGCTTAACAGTTTTTGTTTTGTTTTTTGTTTTTGGGTCTTTAGGTTTTCGAAATGTTATATTGTTGACTTATTTTACCTCAGAGAAGCTGCAGAATCATTTCAGAAGCAGAAGGCCCCAGCAGCGTCGCACTCCATCAAGATTCTGTTTATTGCAAGGCAATTAAGAAACTTACAATGAATACAAAACACAGACGCGTGTACAGCATGAAAAATAGACTTTGTTAAATGTGTGAATGGTCAGTGGTGCATTAATAATGTGAGGCTGAAGGAATGCTTGAATGACGCGTCACGACATGGTCAAAGAAACGCAGAAACAGTGGAATCTTTTTTGTATTGGCACTTTTTTAAATTGTTATTCATATTTGAGTTTGACAACAGTGTATGTTATTGTAATCTGTGCATGTTAAAGTATATCTTATCTTAAAGCAAGACTTTTGTAGAGACTTTTGTAGAGAAAGTTTAGTATAACTTTATGAAGACGATAACAGAAGCAGGTAAACGACTGTACACTCAAAATTGTGATAAATACGCCGTGCCTTAAAAAGGCAATATCACTGATTGTGCTGTTGAGACCAGAAGGTCCTCCTGTCTCCAGGGTTCTGTAGCGGAGCATGAGGAGCACAGGTAGATTTTAGGAGACTAATCCTCGCACTTCTGATGTAGTTACTGTCTGGCCCTAATACTCGTAAAGCCGCAGCTGCTGTGCGGACATAACAGACTGCACACCGTGTGCAACATTAATAATTCACCTAATAATTCGGGGCGCTCCCTGTTGTGGGAACAACTGTCCCGAAGCCTCTGATGCGCAAGTTTGGAGCGCGGGGTCGCGGAGCTGAGAGGAGGGAGCTGTGGAGGATCCAGTGCGCACTTCAGACTGTGGAGGCATTCTGCGGCGTAAAGACGCTGCTCTTTCATCTCGTCAGCTCATAAAGGAGGAGGCGACGTGGGACCAGGGGTGTCCCCCCGTTTTTGCGCGTGTGTACAAGAGCGTGCATTTGTTCTGCTGTTTGCGAGAGCAACGAGTGAGCGGAGAGAGAGAGATACAAGGCTAAAACAGACCGGACGCGCCACGCTGGAGACAGCCGCTTCTGGACTCCATTTGGATAATCAAACACACGGGAATAGAACAGAAAGACAACTTACTTCTCACAATCTTCCTTTTGGTTCACGTTTATTTGCGCTGTCGCTTTGAATGTTCCTTGAACGCCTCTTTCCACGCAACATGGACACATCTGAGGCCATGCTTCGCTAGTCTACAGGCTCAGCCGCAGCCCGCTCTCTCTCACCGACTTCTCGCAGAGTGAAGCCACTTTTTGAGCGACTTCTTTAAAGGTGTCTTTTTTTTGCTTCCGGCAACAGAGAAGAAGAGTCCAAGTGTTCCTCTGTGAGCCAGCGCGCTCCCTCTCTCACTTTTGGAAGCTGAACTTTTAAAGGAAAATGGGGCATTGAGTTCGTTGGCAGATCTCCCCACGCTATAATGGTACGTGCTGTGTTACTCAATTGTTGCCCTCACTTCGTTTTATGGGAATATGATACGGGATCGACGTGAACTTGGTGTGTTAGATGTACAGTAAACGTACCTCGGAGTAGCTGTTGTATTAACGGTGTTCATAAACTGGACTCGTGCGGACCGTGGCGGGCTGCTCAGGGACTAACCACCTGCGTGCGCCGCTTTGGCTGCAACTTTATCTGCAAACTTCTGACGCTAATGGGTTTAAGTCGAGTCCAAGTATGAAGCTGTAGAATGTGCCCTGCATAGTCTGGAAAAGTCCCGTCCGCAGTGGAGTGGCGGCCACTAAAGTGTTTGCACGAGTGTTTGAATGGAGCCGTGACAAAGACGAGGCTCATCATCAAACAGAATAAAACAAATGTGTTTCACTGTCACAGAGACGCGCACGCAGTTCTGCGGGATTCAAAGAAACGCTAGCGCTGGGGTTTTAGTATACAGGCTATTCAGTGTGTGTGTGTGTGAGAGAGAGAGAGAGAGTGTGTGTGTGTGTGCATGCATGTGTGTTTTATATTTTGTTAAAAAATATATATAATATAATATAATACAAATATAAGCTATTTACTATATTCTCATTTTGCGCAAAAATGTTGACCTACATTGTTTTATTCCCACAAAAATACAGGAATGCAGTTAATTTGTATTATTTTGTTTGTAGTCTAATGCTCACACTAAATATGTGACGATTATTATTACTATTTTTAATAGTTATTATTATTATTCTTTGTGAAAATTGGTGATTGATACATTTAAACTGCACATTCAATTGCTCTAAATGTATTCTGTATAGACCTATAAACAACATTAAATAAGACTCAAGTACTGTAGTTTTTCTTATATGTTATCTGACATATCGTTGGCTTTTGCAATAAAGTAAATTCACTTTATTTACTGACGTTCAAAATAAAAGTTATTGCATCAATATTGGCGCTCATCAAAAAGAGTGTGATGGATTAACTGAGCCCTCTCTGGGTAAGAAAGGATCAATAGATAATGGTTCAGTTTGTAGCATAACTTTTCTGAAGGGTCATGTTTAAGGAAGTGTTTTGGATTATTCTGCTGAATCCTCCACTGGCCTCCTCTGAACACCTGCTCACTGGCTTTACTGGAGGAACTGGTTTCTTAAATAAGCATTTGATATCAGACTATTAGACAAGATCATTTCACAACCAACCACAATCCACCACACATCACCTGACTATCCAGATCACCTTTTCATGAAAGTGAAACGTAATTTTGATGCCAGATTTATGATTTACGTTTTCCATAAATCTGTCTGCAATTCACTCAACAACAATCTTACGTTCTGATCTGAAGTAATTATTATGTTGTGACTACTTTTATGATTTCTCCAAAACTTCTGGTTGTCACAGGATTCCTTATAAATCTGAAGTCATCACTGAAAACTTCCTCCATTTTTCAGGTTTGAATGTGTGTGTTTTGCATTACTAATCTCTCATTGCTACTTGTGGTACTGTAAACTCCAAAACCACACAAAAATCTCCCAGCGGATCAGTTGTAGCGCAGACAAAGGCTGTATTCTTCAAGCACTAACCTCAACGTTAAATGCACTTAGCAATGTGGCTCATGTGGTTATGAATAGAGACCAATGACCATGTAGGAAAAGGTGCCAGTGGCGTTGAATTACATTTAGTGCTGAGCTGGTGACAAATGGCAAAGTGATTGGACATGGCAGGTTGAAAGTTAGATCTGGCACTGCCATATCTACAGGCCACAGTCCACAGCCAGTCGAGCAAGATCAGGAGTGATTGGGGTGTGTCAATAAGAGCCCTGTTTAAACATGTCTCATCACGACACACTCTTTGCTTTGATGAAAAATGTATTATCTCTGTGACTTTTGTGGCTGTTTCAAACCAACACTCAGTTTAGACCTTTGCCAATTATTTAGTTCAAGTGTGAAAATAGCGTTAATAATGTGGTAGAGCATAGATTATTGTGAATAGTTTTGATTTCATTTTCATTCGTATCAGAACTATTCTCCATAACACCTGAAATGATTTATCCTTGATTCAAGTTTTTTACCTTAGCCTTTTCTTATCTTTTTTTCCCCCCAAAATGAGGATTAAGTTAGACATCAGTTTGGCCCCAGTGGCAGTGCCGCACTTTAGTTATGGTCCAGGGTTTAACTCTGGGGAGCATGGGGCCAATGTAGCGTTTGCATTTTAGCCTGTTTGTCTTGATTACTCCGGCCCTCTGGTGCCAAAACGCTCCTGATAAACAAATTCTCAATCTCAGTGACATTTTCTCTAAAAGTAAATAATAAATAAAAGTAAACAATGTTGTTTTAATGGATCCTTGTACTTAGAATGTTGCATTACCTCAGGCGTAGACTTAGATATGAAGACAAACTGTTTGGATCCACAGTGGAAATGACTCAAACAGTTAAAAATTGAAATGGCAAAAACACAAAATAACGAAATAAATGTCATGTTGTCGTACAGGGTGAGGTGTGTGTGTTAGTCTGTATCATTGACTGTGGAAGTGGACCTGCTAGAACATGTATTTTCTTCTTCTCTATTATCCGGGGCAGTTGGTGAGCAGGAGTGTCCACGATGGAGAGAAGCTTGTTTATTCAGCCAATTTCACTTGCTGTTACTGCAGTAGATCATGGCAGAGCAGGGTTCTAGAATCCATAGACTGCTGGAAGATCCCACAGTAGATTGCCGCATTTGTTGAAAGACCTGAGAATCCTCTGAAAGTAGTCCCGCGTGCCGTTACTGTTGTCCCAGGTACTTAGCAGTCCAATATCTCCTGGGTCTTTTCAACACGCAGTAGCAGATGGTTTCTGTCCTGTCCATTTCTGACACACCCGGCTGCCGCAGAGCTGTCAGAAAACTTCTGCAGGAGACAGGACCCAGAGCTATACTGAAAATCACAGGTGTACAGAGTGAGCAGGAACGTAGACGGGACTGTATCTCAACATCTCTAGGAGCTCCTACAGTATCTTACAACGGACAACGGACCGGACAGGGTTCTTCCCAGCCGCACAATCTGAGGCGTTCCAGACAAATCAGTCAGTAATCAGTAAACAAAGGAGGAAACGACACCATTCGAGGGGCTGAATTGTATTAAAGCCATATCTATAGAACAACTAACGCAAACAACTTAACTCTTTGCTTGTTGTGAATGCCCTCAGTACTAGGTTAGGTTTAGGCACCATTAAGTACCAGGTTAAGTTTAGTTGGTGCGTCTGGTTAAGTTTAGGCCAGTGGCTGGAAGAAATATCTCAAAACAAGATTAGCTAACACTATTTGTCTTCTTGACTCACTCACTGTGGATTTTGTTGGAAATCGATGAATGAACATGCCGTAAGGTGTAGTGGTTCTTTTGGCACCCCCTGCACTGTTTCTTTTTGTTAGAAACGCTATTATGGATGAGATTTCTGGACTTGTTTAATAGCCCTAGATAATAGCACTCATTTACCCACCTTCAAACATGAAGGTGGGTAAAAAACAACATGGTTTCCCAATGAGATGAATGAGCCCTGGCGCATATCTGAAAAAGTTATTTTGGAAATGAGGTGGAATTCCAGATTTAGTAACGTGATGATTGTGCTTTTATTGTTCAAATTTGGGCTGAAAATTTAAATTATATATGCAATTGACCATGTAGAACAGTTTATAGATCACCCATTAGATAAAAAACTATGAGTAAAATAACATAGCACATTGTTCAAACTATCAGCTCATACCGTTGAATATGGATAAACATCTCCTCATTTCTATTATGAACCTCTTACGTCATGCATTCGAAGCCAAGGCTTTTATTTTTCATTATTTTTGCTTAAGTAAACAATAGCAATTTTACTCCCATACCTCCTGCTGTCAGAGTTGTTTTTACAGGGAAGGTTTCACACCGTGTTTTTCTCTCTAGATCCAAAAACTAAGCATTTACTATTGTATAAAAAATAACTACATCATTAAGCCAAATGCAATCTTCAGCACTATATCTTGGCTTAGCTTCTGACCCAACAAAACCTTCAGGAGTCAAATTCAGGCTGAAATAATTAGCTCAACTAAGTCCTCCTGCCTTTACTGTTTCTCGGCTTTTGTCTACTTTTTCTCCCTACAAACCCTTGAGAGGGCTGTGTGAAAAATCATATTTTTCAACATTTTTCCCTGAGGTATCTTTGGCAGGGGCTCACACGGCGGCCGTTTGTGTCTTTCATACAACCCTCACACACTGTGGAACAGATCGCCGATGCAGTCCGCCGTCTTTGAAGCTCCTGCCATCTCCACGCAGGTTGGCTGGACTATCCCTATCCCCGCAAAAATCCCCCTCCCCCCTCCGTTTGTATCCTTCAACTTGGCAGCACAAACTCCAGCCGCTAAAGCACTCTGATAAAACACAATACGGTTGATAATAATTACAGTTTTTAACGATGGACAGGCAGTGGTGGCAGTTGGCAATAGTCAAAACCTTTCTGGACAAGTGTGTATCAACCAGGTGTGTGCAAGTTTGGACTTAGTGGTTTTTCACTGAGATCCTGTGAGGAGCATCATTGATTTGATGCCATTCAAGCGCACTTTAAAATGTAGCCATCATGGCTTTTATTTACAGAGCAATGAGTGTGCGGGTTTGAGAACCCAAGTATTTGGACATATGGCTGTTGACACACAATCAGCCAAGTTAAGATATAAGATGGTGTAGGGAAGTGCATCCTCTTGTCAGGCATTAAAACACCTTAAATCTGAACTCCTCTCCAGCATCATGCTTGTATTTTTGTGGAGTGTGTAAAGTCTGTCTCAATTAACACATTTGCATTGGAAGAGGGAACGGACTCCAAATAGGTCACTGACTCAATCTCCCGCCTTCGAATCTTCCCTCTAAAATGTTAATTAAGGAGTGCTTTGAGATTTTTGTCGCTCAGGGCTGGCCATATGGGCCGGGCATATGCTGTACATATATATACTTCGATATATAATTCATACAGTGCTGCAGGAGAGAGGGTTTGGGGCCATGTGATTTTTTGGGGTGCACTACAAAGAGAGGCAGTGTGTAGTGGTCTCCAAGGAGCTTGGCATGTTCATTAAATACATGTTATTCACTGTTGCACAATGTGATAGTAGTTCATCTGCACCTGTTTCGCTGGCTGACAAAATGAGTACAATATTTGATTCCCTAGTTAGCAGATCGATTAAATCTAAGCTAATGATGCATTTGTTATTAGAAACCATAACTGATTAAGCTTTGTTGAAATATCCATTTAGATAATAGATTTCCTTCTCTCCTATAATACCATTTAATGAGTCTTGGCTATGTCTATTTACCTTCATCAGAATGAGGTACCACGAGCCAATGGAAAGCGCTTACATTTTTGGCACTTTGTCGATCCAATCAGAAATTACCCACTTGTTCACCTGACTCTGTTTCTGGCCTGCAGCAGCCAATCAGAGAGCATCCACCACACCTGATGAAGGAAAGTCGTGAAACTGTGGCTTTAAAGAGGGGCCCTGGACTGGGATCACTGCCCTGATCATCAGCGTATCAAATCCACAGTCCTGCTCTGACCCACACAGGCTGCATGCATGCGTGGACATATTTGTTTTTGATACTCTCGTCTTTACCACAATGTCTCACTCCTTATCAGCGACTTCGGAGACTATTGGCCTCATTCTCTTGTTATGTTTAACAATAGGAGCTGTGTTACCCCACAATAGTTCAAAGTAGAATGTTTATAGTCTAATAAAGATGATTAGAAAGTGCACAATTGCAGAAAAAATTGAAGGTTGGGTGCAGATTATCTGTAATAAAAGCAGAAAAGAAGCAGAGAATAAAAGTGGGTTTGCTATATTGCAAAGGATATGAATAGCCTTTGTTTTCACCACAACTCAGAGCTGTGTGGTCTGCCAACGTCTGGCTCTTATTATGGGGTTTGTGTCTGTAAGTGCTGTGCACGTGTGGCTGTGAGTGTATACATGCAGGTGGTTATATTTTCAAGAGCTACTCTTCTCTAGTGCACGAGTGTCTTTACATGTCTTCACACTCCACTCGTACTGTTCTCTTTGCTCCTGTTTTACTGAACACAAGTGGCACAGGGTCTGGGCTGGCATAGGCATGTGTGCACGCTTTTTATCCGTTAAAGTTGCGAAATGAAATAGGATTTCACAGAAGTGCACAGTAACTGTGGGATTTGGGCTCCCTTCGGCTAAGCAGAGGGGGATAGGGTGATCCAATCAACAGTAGAACTGCAAGGAGAGCCCATTTCACAGCTCCCAGTCCTGCCAGAACCCTGCCTGCATGCAGACTTAGAATACAAATGACTTAGCTCATTGCAAACTAAGGCACAAACAGCAGCCTGGCGCAGATCAATGGGTACATTCTCTCTCTATACAGAATAAAGTCTGTTTCCTGAAAAGTGCATTTGAATGAAAAGTGATGTCACATGTATTGTATAAACACGTGTTCATATAATCTGAATGATTGTTGATTATCTGTTTTGTAGGCTACTGACACCTATCTGGTCAACGACGATCCAGCCCGAGGTCCAGGGATGCCTGAATGTTTCCTCGTGTCCGACACCTACAGGGTACAAAACACGCACTCATTCACAAGCTCATTGTGACTTTCTTTCCATTTACTGAACTATTTCCAGTAACGTTCCCTCTCTTTTTAAGCAGAGAAAGTCAACAACAGTGAAACAAACATTAAGTCCTTATTTCGTACATATCAATTAATTTTGACGTCTTTGTGCTCAGCCTGAGAAGGACCTAATCCAGTTATATTATCAATAGTCCGTCTTAAAAAAGACATCCAGTTCAAAATGGGTAGGGACATGATTCATCTGCCCCTATAAAATCAAACACTGATAGTGCCTTTATGACTTGTTTTATGTTATCTAAAAGACATTTTTACCTGCAGACGTCAACAGCCCGTCGATGACTATATGCACACACTCATTGAACTGCGGTTAATGGATTTATTTATTTAGTGCGATTTATTTCTCACCAAAGTCAAGTCCCCTTCATTTGCATTCAATTACATTTTTTGTAATTTAGACTGACTTGAGTCTGGTAATTACAAAAATTGTTGTGTGAATGTGTTCAAGAATTATACATTCTCAATATCCCATCATGCAGTCAAATTACTTTCAATACATACATTCTCATAACATCACTGCTGAGTGCTGACACGTAATTGCTCACATGTCCTTCACATAAAATCCATATTACTTGACGGCATTTTGAAATTCTCCTCATGGGGTTTCATTTCCAATTTTTTTTTAGAAGGAACCCCCTTAAAAACTTTTTTGCATACCCTTACTCGTCGGTTGTGGCAGAAACAATGAGTGGCTTTTGTGCTCTGTTTACCGTATGCTGTAGCTGCCAGGTTTTCTTTCTGTGCTCTATGTATATATCCGGTATATACATCTGAGTGGCGTGCTCTCTCCGAGTGCACATGTATAAACAGCTAACTCCAACGATCTTGACTCTCGGCACAGTAAATGGTACAGTTACGTGCACTTTCCACTCACGTGATTTCTCCCCTTTGAAAGACAGACTCGACCACCTGTCTCACACATTGAACATGCTGGTCGTCCGGGATCAGTATGCCACATCATTTCAATATTGAGTACTTTAGCTTCAGGCAATACTAAACATGAACTGCTGTCTGTCAATGGGGGACCACAATACGCAAACAAACACGACATATGGCTTTCTCATGCTCTCGTCGATGCCAAAAGGCTGGTGAACAAGGGTCAGGGTCAGGGTTAGGGTTACATGGTCAAGAGGGACGGTTTAATTCAGACTGAATGGATTTTGAATAAGAACCCAGCCTTTTTGAAGCTTCAACCACTAAAGATGTTTTAATACTGACATAACAAGCAGATCAATGAGTGGAAAAAATAAAATATTGTTCAGGGGTGATTCTAATCTAAGCCCGTTAGCTGCCTGCCACTGAGAAAAGCACCAAAAGAGAGGGAAAAGTCCAGAGCACACAAAGACTTAGGGGTTTGGGTCGGTGCCGTGATGGGTGTGGTTTGGAAACAGGAGAAAGCAGCGAAAATCCAAAGACTTCACCTCAAGGTTTTTGTCTTTTGTGGAATGCTTGTCACTTTACTTTTCCAGCAAAGTCAGTAATGAGACCAAATGAGTAATTATCTGTCAAGGTCGAAAGAGACTAAAGAACAGAGAAAGAACTTGATGATTGGTATATAACTTGAATAGTTATTGGATTCATTAAAATACATACTTATATCCGTAAACTAAAGCATAATGCAAGTTGCACATTTCTGATGAACTCAATACTTTTCTTCCTCGTACAATTCATCTACAGGATCTTTGCTACATCACTTCATGTCCTCCTCTGTGTACGACGAGGAGTATCACTGTACACGTGTGCTTTTTACGCTCGAGTTTCTAAGTATCCTACACAGGCTGAGGTCTCGTAAAGCTGCACAACTTCATATCCCCCTGAAAAACTTGGCAGTGGAGCTCAGGGTGACTTCAACCCCCAAAACCGCACCCTATAGTCCTAACACACTGCTTTTGTATAGCCATAATACACACAGATGACATATGCACATATGGGGCGGCATTCACACGGTTTCAGTAACACGCACACACCAGGCAGAGGCTTATGGGTAATTGCCGGCACTCTGCCTGCATATATGAGTTTGATTAAGGCCAAGAAGCGGGAGGATAAAGCCAAGCCTGATTAGAAACAGAGAGTATTGCTTCCATACAATAGCTCTCACAATGGAACTGCTATGGACCATGTCGATGTTCTGCTATTGTTTACTCATATACAGGCAGAGGAAATAATAAGGCTTAAAGTGCATTCTACTCACGGATAGAGTCATTTAGCAGGAGAGAGGTTTGGCGTCTTCTTTTTCTGTTATTATAAAATTGTAATCAATATATTTCTTGTCAAAACTGTTAAATGTAAACTGTTAGTATAGAATATGGGTCTTAAGCAAGATATATGTATTTATTAAAAAAAAAAAACTATTGTTACTTGATATACTGGATAAAAAACTTCAAGAAAATGTTTAAAATAACAAATTCTTTCAATGATTACTGTTAGTGACTTTCATTACAAAATTATAGTTATAAGTGGTTAATAGAATATAATGCAAACTACCGGCATATTTAGACTATTTTTAGTTGAAGAGAGCAGTATTTTGTTCAGTATTTTAGTTTTATTTTGTAGTTAGGGGTGGGAGTAAACAAGTATTTCACTTCTTCTCACTCCCTTTCAACCAAAAAGCATTACTTCATTGTTCTGTGTTAATATATATTGTTTACTATAACGTTTAGGAATTTAAGTTTTGTTATTGTGTCATGCTCATGCTTGAAATAAAATTATTCATGCATTCATTCATAAGAAAATATTCATTCAAACATGATTAATTGGAGAGTTTACAGCTGACTTGTTTTACAGTTAATTTATCATTTAAATGTAATTAATTAAAGCTCAAGTTTCTATCCTTTCCTTTCATAAAGTACAGTGTGTTTGTCCCAGCAGAAAGACCACAACATGGATCTTTGTCTTCTCAGAATACATGTCATATTTTACACACTGAGAGCTGATTGGCCGAGTGAGGGCGGGTACTGTGTTTTCCATTGAACAAGCTAATGTGACCAGGCCAACACACATCCATGCAGAAACTTTACAGAATCCCAGTCTGTTTTGTTGCTATGAACTAGTTACAAGGATTCCATTACATGTAGTTGCTATGTGCTTTCAAAGTTAGGTACCCCAGCTTTAATCTATATTTGTGAGCTTAGAGGAGGTGATGCTTTGCTGTTGTAGGTGGAAGTCCAAGATTGTTTCGTGAAGAGAAATTGTAGGTTATGATTACAAATGAGGGCATGACACAAAACTCCATAAAACGCTCTTCACTGGCAGTATATAAGGGAGACTATTTTCCAGTTCATATAATCTTGAGCTGCTACATTGATATTACATGCAGCGTTTACGCGTTGGCGTGTTAGAAATCAGAAGTGTGGGAGAGACAGCAGAGAGGGAGGGACGGAGGGAGAGAGAGCACAAACTTTCTCTAAAGTTGGAGCGGAGCTTTCACTGCGGAGCGAGTGAGTGAGGCGGGGTTTCAGAGGGACTAAGCCACGGCAGCTTTGCAATGCGGCAGCGTAGCGATCCTCCATCCAACTTTATTATCTTCTACTCTAAATCTCATCCCTAGGCTCGACCATGTACTCTCCTTACTGCTTGACTCAGGTACGGACCGCTGCACTTTAACGGAGCTGTGTTTGCATGTTGACTTTTTTCCGGGTTGAGTTCATGCGCTTGTCTCTCTGTGGAGGACGCACCGCTGCTTGTCAGATATTATACCAACTCCATTGTCTTTCCAGCCCTGCGCGCTCTCCCGATCTGACCTCACACACTTTATGGAGCGCGTCTCTGCTTCCCCCCCCGCCAATCACTTTACGCAGCAGTTTGCAAGAGCCGCTCGTTCTTATAGACGCGTCTCATATAGCGCATGGTTTGGAAAGAAAATGGCGTTTCTCCCAAATTTGATATAAAACGGAGGTTGGGTGTATGAAGCCACGAGTGAAGCGGTCAGCTGCGAGTTATGTCTGCCCGCGGTGGATCACAGGCTGGGGGTCGGCAATGTCTGTCTGTCTGTCCGGGGCCCTTTAAGGACACTGGACACATTCAACCGCTTTTCTCCATGTTTTCTTTTATTCCACCGCAGCGCACAACTTTGAAAATAACATGGCCCTAGTTGTGAAGGACGGTTTAAAAGTGGGCGTGTGTTACAAGATAGTCACCTCAAAAGACGCTTGACCTTATGAGAAAACAGTTTGTTTTTTTAATAGCCAGGTTGAAGAGTGAATCAACAGCCTAAACAGCACTGTGTTTTAGGCTATTCATCCTCACTACAATTTTAATTTTTTCGTTATTTTTATGTCGCCTATTTTTGTATCCTATTTTTTTACCACTTTGTAGTATATTACTCTGATGTACCCTATTGTCTGCATTCATGGCATCTATAAGTAAAACATGTTGTATTCTTATATGTGCGCATACGTGGGGCCTCTTTTTCAGGTTTACGCACACATACCTGTCTACTCACGCTCCAACTTTCACCTTTGCAATTTTAGTCTCTCAATCATATCTCAATCTAAAGCTTATAACACTCGGCTTTAACCATAATTGAATCGATTTATCATAGCAATACAATAATAGTATAGCCTTTCGCTTCAGTGTATTGTCTTATTCAGTGGATTCATAAAAAATGCAGTACAGTGTCCAACGGTTTTTGTATGGCCTAATCCTCTGATTAAAATGTTGAAAATCTGATCAAAAACTAGAAAGGTCAAGTTCTACGTGACCTTTCAGGCCTGCATGTTGATCAATTCAAAACGCATTTTGTCTGCCTTCAATCTGCTAAATTAGGCCTATTTTTTTAAATAAGAGAACAGGAAAAAGAACATAGCTTGATTCAACTCAGTGTGTCCGGGAGCTGCCGAGGCTCCGTCAAGCCGCGCGTCCCTGCTGCAGCGCGGATGTGGACCTAAGCCACTAATAAATAACATCTTTCGTGAAAAGGCACACTTTTAC